GTTATAAATTAGTTATGTCTTAACTTATATATATATATATTTAAACTAGGGAATTAAAATCTATCTTAATCTTATCTGATTTACAAAGAGAAACTTCTTGAAATTTGGCAGTTAAATGCATATTAATTTAAATAGTAAAACTTCAATTCCTAACTATGTAGTTCTTAGCCTCTTATATTTTTTCAATGTGCACCACCTTATTTACATATATGCCTCTAGGATTATAACGCAGTATAGCCCGCAGCCAATTTCGCAGACTAAAAGGGCGACAGAGCCGACAGCGTGGCAGGAACCAGAGAGACCTGGCCCAGACGGAGACGGGAGCTTCGACGCATGCAAAAATCAGGCTAATAGACGCTTGACGTTTTGACGTTTACTGCACCGCCCGTCAGCTCTATCATTAGGCACCGGGCACACGGGGTGGGGCTTTCCAGGGGGGGAAGAACCTACTAAGGGCGCGATGTGGGGGACTAACATGCAATATGGTGATTTCTGATTTGCATGTCGGCTCCAACTGACTTGGCGCTGTTGCAACCAACGAAGCAGCCTGCTCTGGAGCAACGATGTTGCGAGCCAGCTAATTGCCACATTGCAACAGCGGCAAAGGGAGCAACGCCGACACCAGCACATTGTAGCTCGTTGTTAGCCGCAGTAATATGCTAAATTAATTGGACGATATGAAGTGCGTGATATTGACTGCTAATTAAGCTAAGTTATAGACAAGTTAGTAGTGCTTAAGCACGCTCACGATATTTACTGGATATTTAAAAAGCCACAACACTATAATCTTTCTTAATCAAATAAATGAAAACTATTAAATTTTGTTGAGTTCATTGTGGAGAACATACTAATAAACAGCTTCCAATAGAGACTTATCAGGTGCAATATGCTAAGAAATGTCATACCCATTTAGGGTATTATCATCTTTAAGGAGTCAAGGAATCATTTCCGACCCCATAAATTATATATATTCTTAATCAGCATCAATAGCCGAATCGATTTAGACATGTCCGGAAAGAAAAGAAATGTTGTGATTTTTCTCAAAATTTGAAATTTTTATAAGGGGTTACATCATTAAAAATTGCAAAAATTGGCAAAAAATTGACTTTACTGAAATGTTAAATTGAGTGTGCAGATTTATTAACCTAATAAAAATTAGCACAGAAAAACTATCCGAATTGAAATATATGAATTTTTAGCTTAGTTATGATCGATTTAGGATGAAGTTTTTGATCCAATTACAAACTGCAAGGGTATGAAAACTTTGCCTTCACAATCAAAAGAGTGTGCCAAAGTAATCGATTCAAATTAATTGGAATTGTTTCTTATAAAATTCCTGGAATAAAATGGTATTACGGTGGCAAATTATATAATTTATTGTCGGTAACAAAATCCACTTGTGTCCCGTGCGTATTTTCCCATTCCTAATTTTTCACCCAAGCTGCCAGAAAAGTCACTCCCCCGCATATTAGACGAGCAAATAGAGCGGCTTTCATTGATGGCTCCGATCGAAAGGAAACCCGAGGCGAACTCAGCAGGTAACTCAGTAGCCGGGCCTTCTAGGAAGGATCAGCGATCAAGGGCAGGGGCATTGCATTCGGTATAAAATTGCATATAATTATGCAACGGCCACAGTTTTTGAGAGTTCACACCTACCGCCGATGAGCTGCGTGCTCTCCGGGCATAAGCACATCCTGTTGGCCCGTGTTGGCCTGTCTTGGCCGTGACCAATTTGCAGGCTAACGCTAAGAGGGCGCAAGCCCTCTTCCCGAACTGTCTCTTTCTGCGCCCATTAAAGCTGTCGGTCAATTTGATGCCCTGGACGCCATTAGAGTCGATAGTCATCAGGACGTGGCCATCCCACTGGCTCGCATGGCAGACCGCACTTAGAGGAGAGCAGCTCGATTAGTCCATGACAACAGGTGCGGCACGTATTCGTATGCAAAAGGATTGGCCACAGGATAATCGATTTGAGCATCGACAGGGCAACGGCGCCTGCAGCTGCCGGGTAATCTGATGAAGGGTTGATGTGTTCTCTTTTGGAGGGAGATGGCTATTGCCTTTATAATGAAATTGTGTTGACCAATTTGTTATTTAATTTGGTTGATTCAGAGCAAGGCATCCTTTCTGGTTTGCTGGTGTCTGTGAAAGTGTGAAGTGTTCGTGGCTCAGCTTGGGGCGTGTCCTGATGGGTTCGGACTCCAAAGTATCTGGCCATTGCAGGTGTTGGGAAAACAAACTTAACAAACAACCCGAAGACACGAGTTGACTGCAATTTTTGGGGATCCAACTAATGAGTAAAAAGGGATTTTGATTTTAAGTTAATTTGTAAGAAATATTAAATGCCCTACAGAAACATTCTCACAGTCCCATTAAGCAGTTTAACAACAATATTTTAGTATAATTTCTTAAAAGCTTTTTCTGAATAATCACCTTTTTACTGGGTATCCCAACTAACTTCCAACCAGCAACAACCTCAGGGTGCTGGCTAATAAACGAAATGTTTTATTGCCCGGCAACAACCGGCGGAAACAAATATGGCAGCCCAGATAATTGGCAGCCATTTTGAACTGCATTTGTGTTTCTTTTTTATTCGTTTGTTTGTTTGTTTGTTTGTTTGTCTGTCTCTTGGCGACACGCGCCGCTGAACTCGAAGACCTGGAAACCAGGTAAAGTGCCCCTGCAGCTCCAACTGCAGCAGCTAATTCCACTGCAACGCGGGCAGACAATTGCTGAAATGTTGATTACGAACTGGCACAGCTGTCGCCAAGACATCGTAACCGGCACCGCAAATCCCGGCCCATTTCCGCCCGAGGTCCCCCAGCACTTAGTTTTAATAAGTGCTAATGAGTTGCACAAGCCACAAATGCATTGCCCAGAAGATGGGTCCTTCGAAAGACTGATTTTCTTATAAAAACAGCTAAAAGCTGAACCTATATTCTCATGGTACTTCAAGAAAGTGAGTGTCTGGAAACCCTCACGCATCCATCTCCGGCCAAAAGCACTTTGCATAAATGGTTCTGGCCCTCTTTCCCCGCTGCCTGCTTCCGCTCCAGCGAAAAGGGCAACTTTGTATTGAAAGTGCTCGTTATGATCTTAACCACAAATCCTCGTAACTTGGCGACTTGGCGTCGAGAAGGAATATTGGCCAACCGCAAGATTGGCCGATCGGCATCAGGGCCTCATAAGTCATGACATTTATGTTGGCCATGTCGGGCAGGCAATCGGCAATAATCTCTGACTCATCACATCTGCATATAGGATGTACCTCAATCTGAATACATAGTATATGTATATATAGTCGTGGATATCTGGTCATTAGGCTCATTAGTACGGCAGCCAATTAATAAACAAAAATAAATAATTGCACAATTCATTTGGTAATTAGACATGGCTCATAAAGCTGAATTAGGCAAACGGCATGCCTATATGGCCTACAGATATCCCACAGATAGCACACACACACACACACACGTGCGGAGGGAGACCCAAACAGACGGAGACGGAGAACTTCATGCAAATGAAATGAAATTGACTAGAGAGCCAACAAATTGAGTGTGTCTCGTGTACCCGCGAATAAGTATTTCTGTACTTCCCCGCTCACAGTGGCTGCCAACATTGCGCAGCCAGTACCGGCAGTACCGCCCTTTCGCCCTGCACCTGCACCATTGCCATGTACCCCCATGTAAGTGAACAATTCATTTGTCACACTAAATTTGTTTCAATTCATTTGCTCGAAATGACAAATAATGCGATATAATTACATTTTCGAGCGTTGTTTGCTCGTGCTTTTTATCTGGGTATATTTAATACAGTTCCCTTCCTCGGCCGATCCACGGTCAATGATCATTAGGCTCTGGCAGTGGAGATTTCTAAATGAGATTGCCACTCTATTTATGTATGTTTTTCCGTTTAACTTGGGCCTGAGTGCGTGACTGATCTATATCTATATCATCGGCAGGGATGCAAGTCTTTGCCTGACATTGAATTTGTACTTAGGTTCTCTGTCTTAAAGAACTATATTTGTAGGCAAAGTAAAGTTAGTGATGTAGCAATAGCTACAATTATTATTCTTTCACATCTTTTCTTTCAAAAATATATAAAAGTAAGAAAATATTTAAGATCCATAAAGCTAGACTATCATTACCTATAATGAGCACTGTATATAAAATATCCCCTTAATAATTATCAATTATCAATTTCCGCATGGAAAAGCATAAAAAGAAAACATGGAGACGCCTAATATAAGACAATCACAACATCTACTCCACAAATTTCGCAAAAGTGTTCACTGAATTAAACAGAGTGGGCGGCTAATTACGAACTTCTGACGTTCAATGGGGCTTGACTATGGACATGGTGCCTTATATCCGTTTCCGGAATGATTGAACCACTATAGCCATCTTTTTTATATTGCAGGTGGTATATGGTCATTCGTCGGACGACTATACATTACAGTTTTATAGGAAAGATCGTAAAAATATTATAGAGAATGTGCTTTTTTAATATATAACCCCATTTTGAATTTTGTTCCAAGCAACCTACAGGCCTACTAAAATAATGATGCATATTTGAATTAATTTTAGTTAAAATAGATTAATTTACTCTTTCAGCCCAAAAGATGTACAACTTTATTCATTTTGAACATTTTCTCATATTAATTATTGCATACTTAAACGGTGCAAAATATATAAAGACTTGGCTTAATTGTAGCACACTTTTATGCAGTAGCACCCTGGGCCATGCGAGACTTTTCGAACACGAGCCCGCGAAATCAAACGATAAGTCTATTGTATAGATGGTGTCATCGATGTTCTTTCAGAAAGAGAGGTTAACAGAAAAGTGCTGTTGAATTTAAGCTTTTAAGAAAGCATACTGTAAGTTATTAAGAGCATACAAAACTCCCTTGATAGTGACGGCAAAGAAACATCGATGGTTCGATAATCAAAGATCGATGACCGGTGTTTTCATCGATATTTTGCACACCTCTACACCTCTAATGAAAACAAAACAAACTAAAAAAAAAACAAAACAAATTGTTGAATCGATCTAATCGCTGTGATTAAACGTTATCGTCAACTTTAATCGTCTTAATGAACATTATTACACATTATCGTTAACATGGACGGCGAATGGCTGGACGATGCGGAGTTGGTGGCGGCCTTGGCGGTACATGAACAGCAGGAAACCGAGGTATTAAATAATATTGGTTTATCCTTAAAAAATCCACTCTTCCACGATTTCTTCTTTGTACAGGAAAATAATGTGATGCCTGGGATGGATGAGGCCTGCGAGGGCTTCGACATGGCCACCGGTCACAGTTGGATTTATCCGAAAAATCTTCCCCTGCGATCCTACCAACATAGCATAGTCCACTCGGCGCTCTATAAGAACACCCTGGTGGTCTTGCCCACAGGATTAGGCAAGACCTTCATAGCAGCAGTGGTGATGTACAACTTTTATAGGTGGTATCCAAAGGGAAAAATCGTATTTATGGCCCCCACCAGACCTTTGGTGGCCCAGCAGATCAATGCCTCTCAAAAGATAATGCCATTTGCCCCAGCTGATACAGTGCAGCTCACAGGTGAAGATTTAAAAGGAAAAGACTAAATTTATAATAATAATACCTCATTTTGTACTGCAGGACAGCTTCAGCGACCCAAACGAGCCGAGTTGTGGGCCACCAAGCGCGTATTCTTCGCCACACCCCAGGTGGTGCACTCGGATATGCTGGAGGCCGATGGCTCCTCAACCTTTCCCTTCAACTCCATCAAACTGCTAGTGGTGGACGAGGCACATCGGGCAAAAGGTCGCTATGCCTACACCCAGGTGGCCGATTGTCTGATGGCGCACAACCGAAACTTTCGGATGCTCGCCCTGTCCGCCACTCCGGGCAGGACCATGGAGGACGTGGCCTCGGTGTGCCAGAACCTCTATATATGCAACCTGCAGGTGCGATGGGATAATTCGATCGATGTGCAGCCCTACATCCATCGGCGGATCATTCGAACCATAGTCGTCTCCCTCAAGGACCGGATCAAGGAGCCCAGGGAGAAGCTGCTTCAGATTATCGAGCCCTATCTTCGCCAGCTCATCGAGGCGGACATTCTGAGAGGAAGCAAGGGAGGCATGAGCAAAAACAGCCTGCTCTACGAGCAGAAATTCTTTACCGAACGCTCCTCGGTGCAGGGCCAGCGCCACCCGGATCACAACATCATAATGGGCAACTTTGCCATGTGCATCAGCATGTACCACTCGCTGGAGCTGATGGAGCGACACGGCCTCCGAGTGTTCGTCAACAGCTTCGACGCCGACGAGGACGGGCGTGAGAAGTTTGTCCTGGCCAAAGATCGGGCTTTGAGGGACTTGGTGGAGGAGGTGCGACAGGAGCTAGGTGCCAATCCGCTGGACTACAGCACGGGAAAAATGACAAATGGCGAAGTGGCACCGTTGCCAGCGGACCTGGACTTTGGCCATGCCAAGTATGAGAAACTGCGAGAAGTGTTGCTCCTGCACTTTGCGGTAGGTCTGTCCCAGTAATTTAATTACTAACTATAAAACATTTCTTGCAACAGGCCAATGCCGATTCCCGAGCAATCGTTTTCTGCGAGTACCGGGAGTCCGTAATGCTGATCCACCGTCTTCTTCTCCAGCACAGGCCGCAGCTACGCCCGCGCTGCTTTGTGGGCCAAGGCAACACGGTGGGCGCCAGCTATGCTCTTACCCAGAAGCAGCAGCTGCAGATTATGGCCGACTTTCGATCCGGCACCAGCAACATCCTGGTGGCCACCTCGATCGGCGAGGAAGGCATCGACGTGGGCGAGGTGGAGATGATCGTTTGCTTCGATATCTGCAGCTCTAATCCCACTCGATTCGTGCAGCGAATCGGACGCACTGGGAGAAAGAAAAACGGCGAGGTGGTTATGCTCGTGACGGAGGGACGGGAGCAGCAGGTGCTCAAGGATGTGCTGGCCCACAAAGACCACATGAACAAGAAGCTGCTGAACTCATCCGTCGTAAAGATGGCGCTGTACGAACAGAATCCACGAATGGTGCCGTCGCAATTTCAGCCAAAATGCGAGGAGAAGCACATGGAGGAGGCGGTTGTTGAAGAGAAACCAACCGGTGGCAAGGCCAAGGCGTCTGGCAAGGCAAAGGAGCCTAGGAAACGCAAGGAACCGATTGCAAAGGCCGCCACTTTAAAGCGGTTCTTCAAGGATGTCGCTGTTTCAGAAAGCCAACTGGGAATCTCTCAGGGTGTACAGCCCTATCAGATGAGCGACGCCTCTCAGCAGATGATCAAGCAGGAAGTGTCCCGTCGAAGCGTGTCCTTGAATAACTTTCTCGCAGATACCCAGGCAGCACAGCCCACTCTGAGCAACAGTCAGGAAGAGGTTCAGCGTCTTCGAAAACTCACCCGCTTTCTGCAGTCGAATAAGCCAATCATGGCGGAGTCTCAGTCAGATCTTATTTGCCATCTGCAGGACCAGCAGTTACCACACCCATTGAAGCTCTACTTGCTGCAAAGCAATCCCGTCTTCCTTAGAGAAACCCACTCAAAGATGCTGCTTCAAAGTCAGTTGGAGATTGCCGATGACCGCTTAAACAATCGGCAGCAGAGGACCAGGAACAACTATAAGCTTCTCCTGGAGATCTGCGGGGGAACCGACAAATTGGAGGAGCTTCTGCAGGCGGAGCAGCAGTCCCTAGCCGAGATCACCATCAAGGAGATTGGGAATCCTCTAGACGAACACAGAGAAAGAGAATTTAAGACCACCTGTGATAGGATTTTCGAGGGCCTTGAGGAGCAAGGCCTAAACTCGGATAATTATGAACTGAAGCAGGAGCTGCTGGAGAAGCTCGAGCTGCGGCATCTGGAAGCCACGGTAAACGAACTTCGTGGAATCCCGGAGACATCGTGGTCAGAAGACGACTGGGAAGAACAGCCTACAGAAGATGTGAAGTGTGATTCCATGTACTTGAGCCAGCAGTTAAACTTTTCCGCTGCGGATGCAGTGCAGCACAGTTCCACACCTCTGAGGGTAAAACCCTTGAGCAAACTGATATTCGAACCACTGCCAGAGGAGAATGAAGAAGAGGACACCAGTTTGGGGGACAACTTGGGGCGCCTGAACTGCCTGATGAATGCGAGTGAGTCGCTCCTAAAGACCGAACCTATTGAGATATCCGTTTCTGAACCGGAATCCACAAGAGAAGAGAATCCACCCGCAGCAGCAAGTGAGGTATATCCTATTACCTCAAGTGACAGCGGAGAAAGCGTAGAGCCCAGTGCGGATCCAAAAATTGAAGCGAAATCCGAATTAGATGATCTGGAGATTGATTTGAATGAATTTCTAACGCCCATGTCCGAGGAAATCAAGTTGACCCAACTGAAAAAGGAGGCGGAGGTGCTTAATCATGAAGATTTGAAGGATTTCCTTGAACCCATGGCTGAAGAATTGGAGCTAATGGGTCAGCATAAGACCACGCTGTCGCCCAATAATGAAGCGAAAGAGAACGAGCCTCTTCCGACATCCCCGTCCAAGTCCATTTCCCGCAATGTCTCGCCGGATATCTTTGCATCCGACTCGCTGTCACCTTGGAAGCCAGCCGGAAAGAGCCTTGCCACCAAGCTGTCAGCGAAGGCAGCGGCAGCTAAGACTCCACCACTTCCTGCAAACCTTCAGTCGCCGGAAAGTCGAAAGAAAACCGATCCATTGACGCAGGAGAAATCGCCCAGCATTTTTGATCTGTATCTCAATCGAATGAGGGGACGCGGACGCCTGGCCAAGGCTGCAGAGTCCATGCATCGCCTCACCTCGACAAATGTCTCGGTCAAAGAGGCTGAGGAGAAGGAGGATTCGCCCATTGTGCGTCGGCCATCGAAACGTAAGATAGTTATTAGCTCCGACGATGAGGAGGAGGAAAAGAAGCCCCTCGTGGTTGAACAGATTCCTTGCACACAAATGGAGCCGGAGACACCGACACCGCCGAAAAAGCCGCGTCAAAAGCGCATCAAATTTAATTCTTTCATTGTGGATGAGGCTGATAAAAGCGGCTCAGATCATGACGAGGAGGCCGAGACAACGATCGGCACATATCTGAAGGATTCTGTGATAGTTTCTAGCGATGATGACGAAGATCCCAATGACACTAACGTCCATGCCATGTACCTGCAGGCCGTGAGGTGAGTGAAGAGTAAAATATATTTATTTCCTAGTCCATAAATATTATATTTATTTTTAGGAGCCCTATTCAGAGGCCAGGTGCCTTCAAGATGCCCGCCCCGAAAGTGTACCGCGATGAGTCGCACATCTTTTCCCAGCCAGTGGAGGCGGAAGCGTCTCAGTACCTGCCCTGCTCCTTTATCGTTGACGACGACAGCTCAACCATTCAGGATGTTTCGGAGTGTCCCCTGGAGAAGGCCGAACGCATCCTCAAGGAGCGACGCCGGCAACGGCGACTGGGAAATCTACAGCCAGTAGCTCCTGTCAATAAGCGGCGTCGGGTCCAAACCATGAGCACCTCAAGTGACGAAGACGATGTGTGCTTCGTTGAATGACGAGCAGTCAGACTCAAAGTGCCTTTGGGTGGAAAGAGAAAATGTATGTTTGCCATTTTATTTAGTTTCGTTAAGATTTTACTTGGAATTCCTTTTGTCACATTCCGAGCTGGTTAATTATGTTTGCTGTATATTTATTTGCATAATCATAAGTATTGCTCTAACTATACCAATACTCATTTGGATTTTTTTAAAGAAAGCCTTGCAGGGTGTTATAATTGTAGTCAAAAGCTAAAAATGCAGTGAAGGAGTCGTTTCCGACCCTATAAAGCATATATATTCTTTATTAGCATGAACATACGAATCGAACTAGCCATATTTGAACAAAATAAAATTTTTTTCAAAATTTTGAAAATTTTATAAGGGGTTACATCGTTAAAATTGTCAAAAATTGAACAAAATTTTTAAAATTTATAATTTAATATTTAATATGCAGGTTTGTTAAACTAATTAAAACTAGCACAGAAAAGCTTTCCAAATTGAAATTAATTTAAATTTGGCTTAGTTATCATAAATTCTAAATTGGAACTGCATGGGTATAAAAACTTCAGCTGCCCAAAGTTGGCTTCCTGTCTCGGTATTTATTTATAATTATTTCTTCTTATTCATTTATTTATTTAAATAAAAAATAAACAGGATATTAGATTGACTGTCATAAAGCACCATCTGTGGGGCTTTTTGTATTGGAGACTTATCCCATGTTCGCGATAACATTATGTTAAGCAACAGTTTCGGATTCCAACCTACAGATGGCGTCGTCTAGAAATATAAGAACTTAGTTAAATGAAGAAGAGGTGGCGCACAACACCAATTTAACCAATCTCACTATTCTAAATGTAAATGTTCTTTTTAGAATACAATGATCTACATGTAGAAATTATGTAAGGTCGTGTAGAGTAGCTATTTGTGTAAATGTAGAAATCATGTAAAACATATTTGTAGAATTGAATTGAATTTGTGTCTGGTACAATTGTATAGTTTCTCAATCTCGGTCTGCATCAAAATCATTTTTTTTTAAATTAAAATCAATTCTTAAAAAACTATTTTTTAAGCTCGTTGAGCATAACCAACCAAACTACTAAACGAGTATTTTGGTTGCAAAATATATGTACATATATATATAAGCAGGAAGCTGTTGAGTTATGACGACTATTTGTAGGAGCAGCTATAAGAAGGGTTTAACAACTACTGGATATAATCAAGTACATATATCTAAATTCATATATATATATATTTGTTATATATCAATCCTTCCGTATCTTTATTTGAACTGTCTTTAAAGGTACGTATGCAAATGATATTACAACTTTGACGGGTCTAACTTAGCTGAATATTTTAATTTTAGTACATAACTTGAAGAATGAAACAACAAAGAATTTATTGATTAAAATAAAATTATACATAATTCCATTAGTTTACGCTAGTTATAGACTTTAATTATAATAATTATATAAATTCAAATGACAACCAATTTTACGTCTTTCCATATACCAACTTTTTTCGCCCGCTGTACTGCGGCATAATCAATAATTTTTAATTTAACAACAATCGCACAATCGTTTCAGCGTAATAACCATTATTATATTTTCAACAATAACAGGCACCACAGCAATAGCAACAGAAACGGCCAGCCAGCCAGCAACAACAAAAAGTCAATTCAATTTTAATGGAGTAGCAATAAAACAGAAAAAGCGCAAAAAATTGATATAGCCATGCGGCTCGTGAGCCATAAGCCAAAACGCAGTCTGCCATGGCAAACACAGAGCTAAAGCTAAAGACAGAGACAGATACTGAATATATGTATACCCCGTCGGGGGGCAATACAATTTTGCAATTGCAATAAAATAATTTAAAATCGTTTTCATCAGCATCAGCTTGAAGAGTTTTCGCTCGCCGGTCGCAATGCAAAAAGTGATTTTGCGGCAATCAGCGATTCGCTCTCTGCGGATGATGATGACGCTGACTTGTTGATGATCACGGCGATGAATGCTATTTGGAATTGATTCGCTGTGAATCTGCATCTGTCTCCGTCTTGGCCCTCTGCCTTGTCGGCCATCATGGCCAGAGTCCAAGCCAATTGCAGCGCCGAAAGTCTTTACGGCCCCGACGATTTCCCTAATACGAAACGTGCCTGCCTGATGCGCCGTGTCCAATTTTGTAGTTCGTTCTTTGTGCAGTCGGATGAGCTGCGATGCCAAATCGCTCTCGAATCCGTTCCCGTTCTCAGAGTTTCACTCATAAACGGAAAGCCAGCCCCCCTTAGGAGCCCCTTAGGGGCTGGGCTATCGCTTTGCCCGGTTTGCGGTTTAAATTGTCTTGCGAAACAAAACCAATTTCAATTTCAAACAAAACGTTTTGCGAAAATTACGCAGGGTGTACGCCGGACGTGCTGATGCAAAGCAAGGCAAGGCCAGGCCAGGCCAGATCAGATCAGGCAGGGTATCTTAAAAACTGCAATAAACGGTCTACAATCGGAGCTGATCTCATCGGAAGTATTTTCGCTGATTGCCATTGCCTCAAAAGGTCTGACTCGGTTCACGGAAATGATCAATGGAAATGATTGGTAATGAAGAGTAAGAGAGAACAGGCACTTGAAGAAAATTCACACCTAGTTTAAATTCATTGATAATATATTGATATCCCCTGATATTTTTATATGATATTAATTGTAACCAATGAGCTCTATAAGAAGTAAGCAAGTCTAGGTGCTCTAGGGTATACTACATGTTTATTTACCATGCATGCCATATGTCTAATTTCTTCTCAATGACAAATCGATTTCAAATTGATCCGCTGGCCATTTGGTAACAATGGAAACGCCCACCAACGAGGCCAGGCTAAGTTTCCCGCCATTGCCTCTATCATATCTCCTGACAAATTGATATTGTCTAGGCCATTTTCGATATGCATATTTATGTTCTCGATAGGTTTCTTTGTTTAACTCACGACTGTAAATGTGTGCTTTGTAAGGCTTTATCGTTTTATAATTTTTCTTGGCTTTCATTCACTGAGCTCAGCTTTGACCTCTTGTCAACACACTAGCATGGGCACAAAGGGCTCTATAATAAAACACTCGAAACAATTTTTGTTTACGTAAAAGTGTCTTTTATTAATAAACAAACCTTCCTAATATTATCCTTTTTTGAAAGATTCAGAAACTAAGAAAATTATATGTACTTAAGGAATATTACGAAACATTAAATGATCATATTTAAATAGAAAAATTTAACTCACGACTGGCACAAGTTATTATATACTTTCGAAATCAAATTCTTCAAGTTTAACGTTCAATTTTAGTTGAGCAAAAATTATTAAAAATAATACTTAATTATTAGAAATATTCAACAAATTAAATTTCGGAATCTGAACTACTTCCTTTACTAAAGCGAATATCGTCGAGTACCTTGTATTTGCATGGTCGGTAAACATAGCCAGAGTTCTACAAGTTTTTAGTTCTTGTTCGAGTGGATGAAGAAGAGCCGAAGCATGGCCGACGAGGCGCATCCACATCCACATCCACATCCGGTCCGGGGACCTCTGCTTTGTTGCTTCCCCGATAAGTTTCTGATGCGCCGTTGACTTGTCTTGTCACATTATCGTGTTAGCTTGTCCGAAGCGCCAGGCAATTATGGACTGGGCCTGTGTGGGCCCGGACTGCATGGATGTAACATATATTTATGAGGCTTTATGGCCGCTGGCTTTGATTAATGTATGACAGGCCGGGCAGACGCTGGCCGAATGAATATTAAACTTTGTTGCCCCGCCATATAGAGGCGACATCAATTAGCTCTCCGGCATAAATACATTACCACAAATCGCCGAGCATTTCGGAGAGTGCCAGTGCCAGGTCCAGTCGCACTCCAGGCCCACTCCAAGAACGATCCATTCGACGACGCTTATCGCCGCTTGTAAATGTCTCAACTATTTGTTAAATGCTAAAGCGACATGGTCATAATGGAAATGACAACTTAACAGCAACGTCGCGGATGGTATGGCAAAAATGTTAAAAGGCTCGGTCTCCAGCTCGGTCACCTGGGGGCCTCCGCGAGCCTGGCCATGATAACTGTATTGAGAGTGTCATTAACATTTTGATTTGGCTGCAGTCGCGTCGAGGAGTCAGTCGTCGCCATGCCAAGCCACCTCAACTCTATTATGAGCTCCGACTGCATTTCGCCGGCTACTTATCGGGACCCCAGACATGCACATCATTTGTTAAATAAAATATACTGAGGAAAACTTGAGGAGGGTGTTGAAGCATAATCATTGTCTGTAAGGAATTTTAACATTTGAAGCCTAATATAATAATTATAGATCAGATGAGAGTTCCTTTGTAGATGGAAAGAAGTTTGCAGAGGCGAAGCAGCAGCTCTTCAAAGGACTGCATGAAATCATTCATTTAGAAAGAGCTTCCCAGATTTGCTTACCATAATTTTATTGCTGTGTAGAGTCACCATCCGGCTCAAGTCCCCTTGCCCCCTCGATTGTGCGAGACAATTAATCAGGTCGATGTTTCCGAATGCAAAATGAAAACACCTTTTTAAAGGCATCAGCAGCAGCACCGAGAACAACCACAACGATGCCATCAATCAGGTGAAAACCTTGGGATGGCGGCCACGGGTGTGTGTGTGCGAATCCGTGTGGCGCTTTCCGTTTCTGAGAGGTGTGGGTGCAGGGCGAAATTAAAAAGCGTCAATTTGTCACACATGGTCAGAGCTGGATCCAGTATCCTGTCCCGCGTCCGCCTCCTCTCCTGCCACGACTGTCATTAACAACGGTTTTGCGGCTGAGTTTTTAATTGCCGCCGTGTTTGGTCTGAGAATCCGATTTGGATTACCAAGTTGGCACACTTTTATGGCCCTCTCCCGGAGAGTTATTAGCTGCGCTTGCGATCCATTAAGTCAGCAATTGGACAACCTGACAGCGGCATCGGAATTGGAATCGGAATCGGATGGAGTGTGGGTGTAATGGAAGCTGGCCAATAAGAGTGTTTTGGCGACGGAAAATGTCTCAAGGGGTTGGATACAAGGGGGATTTTCGATGGCGTCATCTTACGCCTGCACAAGCATACATCAGACTTTGGCACTTGACTTGTCAATAGTTGAGAAAGGAGAAGTAAAGAGCTTTTAAATATACATAGTTCAGTCTTTAAGAAAATTGTATAGTGAAGTCGGTATTTTGAGACTACAGGATTAAAGTAAGATGGTTTCAACCTAAATTTTAAATATTATT